CTACCTCAGATGTTTTTTGTATATATTTTGTTGTTTTTTTTAACCCTCACTCAAACATATTTTTCCCATTGATTTCTAGAGAGAGTGGAAGGGAAGGAAGGGGGGGGAGGGAGGAAGTGGGAAGGGAGAGAGAGAGAGAAAAAAAGAGAGAGAGAGAAGGAGAGAGATGTGAGAGAGACACATTGATTGGTTGCCTCCCGCATGCATCCCTACCTGGGCTGGGGAACCTGCAACCAAGGTACATGTTCTTGACCAGGAATCAAACTCACAACCCTTTGGTCCATGGATCAATGCTCTAACCACTGAGAAAAACCAGCCAGAGCCCTCAAATGTTTTTCTAAGCATTAAATTTTAAATCAATGTAAAATTACTGGTACAGTTGGGCTGCAAGTAGTTAAGCAGTAAATATTCTTTTCTGACCTCAGTTTCTCATTGTTTTTTCTCAAAAACAATCTAGAACTGTGCTGTCTAATATGATAACTACTAAGAACATGAGACTAAGCATTTGAGATGTGGCTACTCTGAACTGAGGTGTGCTATAAGTACAAAATACACATTATGAAGACTATTATAAGAAATAGGATGTAAAATATCTCAATGAATAATTATAATGATTACATGTTGAAATTGTACCATTTTAGATATGTTAGGGTACATAAAATATATTATTGATTTGTTTCACCTGTTTCTTTTTTATTTTTATATACTATATGAAATATTTTAATTACATATATACTTGTGTCTCACATTATATCTCTATTGAATAGTGCTGATCTAGAAATTAAAAGATTCAAGAAATTCAAGGTTCTACTAATTCCTAATCCATATAAGAAAAGGAAAATGTTATACTGTGTTTTCATTCTTTAGAATCCTTGTAGAAAGGAATTATATTTTATTACAATCTTATAAGCAGCAAATCATACCAACTAACAAATATTTTCAGTTAGGCTCCTTAGAATTACAAGGTGAACAGGAGTTTTTTCTTGATTTGTCTACTACTATTTAAAAAAATTGGAATAAAGTAGGAAAATCATATTGTAATTTCTGTTCTCTCTGCCTTGCACAGAATAACTGCATCAAGCAACACTCAAGCACTCATTCCTTACAGCTAATGGAGCCAAGTGTCTCCCTGACCTGCCTAAGATTTATTGAGGTCTTGACCAGCCAAATTTCTTAACCTAGAGAAGGCCTAAGCCAATTTCTCAGAAGATAGAGAGAGTGACAAGAGGAACTGCTAATATTAGCTAGTCTGACCAACTTCTCCACACAGTAATAAAGCATACTTTCTAAAAGGCAAGTCTGATCATGTCTTTTCCCTTAAAATCTTCCCTGGAAATCTTCAATTACTCCTCATAGGAAGGAGTAATTGTCTCCTGAAGAGAAAGGGCATGCGGTGCAGCCATACTTGGTCTAACCACACTTCTTCTGGGATAATAAGAGCTCAGAAGAACTGTTTGCCTTGCTGTTACTCTTCTGGTAAGTTTTTCTCCAAAATGCACTCTTCTTTGCATCTCTCTCTTGAGTTAACATTACAGTGGAGAGAGAGATAGTAAATAGTTATCTTAAATGTATAGGACAGGGGCCCTCAAACTACGGCCCGTGGGCCACATGCAAATACAAATATTGTATTTGTTCCCGTTTTGTTTTTTTACTTCAAAATAGGATATGTGCAGTGTGCAAAGGAATTTGTTCATAGTTTTTTTTTAAACTATAGTCCGGCCCTCTAACGGTCTGAGGGACAGTGAACTGGCCCCCTTTTTAAAAAGTTTGAGGACCCCTGGTATAGGATATTAGAGTCAATTGCTAAGGAAAAACAAGTAGCAAAGGAGAATAAGATTATAGCGGTTTGGGTTTTACATGATATGGCCACAGAAGACCTCATAGAGAAAAGTGGCATTTGAGAAAAGATATGAAGGAAATATTATTACGCTGTGGCTTCATCTGAAGCCTTGTAATTAGGAATAGGTCTTGCCAGAGATTCAACCTTTTCCCCATAGACTCAGTATGAGTAAACATGGGGAAATGCTGAAAGTATGAGTAAATATGAGGAAATGCTCAGCAGAGCAGACTTGTGGATGAGGCCTGCCAGGAGGCCCAGGGAAATGCAGATGACCCTCCTGAGACAAAAGGAATGCCTTTCATTCTCCATGTATTTTATTTCCAAGCATGATTGCAATCTTTGGCTCAGAATTTTTCAAAATATGGGTCTACTCTAGATTCAACAGATAGTCATGAGGTTAGTTTGGTAGGTAGAAACCAACAGGAAAATAAAAAAAGTAGAATAGAAAATATTTGCTGCAGCAAAGATAGGAATTATTTCAAACATATATACACATGTTCAGCTATGTGTTTGCTAGACAATGATATAAAATGTAGTTCTTACTGTGGGTCGTGGATAAAAGAGTTTGAAAAATATTGTGCTAAGTATAAGAGGACTTCTCAAATGTATCTCCTAAAAAGAGATTAAGATAATGGATGAGGCAAGAAGAAAGGAATAATAGGCTTTATCTACAGGAAAAATAAAAGTATAGGGCTAAATGAAGACAATCAAGCATCCATTTACTCCTATCTGTTGAATTAGAGATTAAAAATTATATTTAATAGTTTGTATTTCTTTTTATTTTTTGTTCTCATATATGTATGCCTGCCCTTGTACAGTTGTGTGTATTTCTGTGTATGTTTGTGGTTTACTATAGTGATTACCAGATCCTGAGGAGAAAAGATAAAGAGCCTATAAACTTATGTTCAAAATAAGTAAAGAAAGTTCTGGAAAGTACTCTACAGTTGACATGAACAGAACCCTAAGAGCTGAGATGGTGGTGGAAACTACCAAGTGGAGAAGGCTGAATCTGTAGTAGCTTCTGCAAAGAGAGAAGGAAATGTAAATGGAGCCAGTAGAGACCTTTGGAAAGGTCTAAGAGCTGAGCTATAGAAAGGCTCAAATAGCTCCACAAACTCGGGCCGCACTGGAGTTTTCTAAGATTCAGTCTTTGCCTTTCAATTAAATGTGTCTCTTCTAATTCTTCAGTTATTGATACAGATGATTCTTAAATTTATATACATAAGCATAGCATCTTGAATTCCAGCTAATATCTTCAAATGTCTGCTGAGCCATGCTTCTTTGAATATCTCTCACTATGTTTATACATATGGAGAGCTGGCAGCTTAAGCCCACTAGAGATATCTGTGAATGAGAAAATAAAGCACCTTTTGGTCTTTTCTAAAGACATAAAAAATGGAAAATCAAATTCTACGAGGTTGGGTAAAAAAAAAAAGAATATAAAAAAACTCTATAGCCTAGGTAGTGAGCTACATTAACCCACACCAGAAGGGCAGCCTGCGATAGAAGGAGCTATCTACTATACTTAGTGCAGGAGAGGAAGGAAAAGGAGAGTTTTCTAATAGAAGAAAGGAAGTCTTGTTTCTTTAATTCAATGGTGTGTGTGTGTGTGTGTGTGTGTGTGTGTGTTTTCTTTAAAGCAGTATCTAACTTTTTTATTTTGTTTCTGTGATCCCATTTTACTTATAAATTGGTGTCCTTTGGGAGAGACATGAATTACTTTTAGGTTAACAGTTTCAAAGATGTTGAAATATTCCTCATTTGCCTAGGTTTGGTCTTTCCCATTTGGATCTACTGATGCACTTCAATTCTGAGGAAATTGCACTTTTTTTATTTCCCACTGAACAGAACTTGGAATTGCATTAAACTCTCAAAGTCAGAATCTATAGAATCCTCTGATTTTTAATTTTAAACGAAATTATAATATTTATTCCTTTCTCTAGTACTTTGGTTTTCTTTCTGATTATTCAAATGCCTTAAGAAGTAGTTCAATGATACAGACATTTTATTTGAAAGTTCCTTTGATAACATGGGATATAATTCATCTGGGACAAAATATGTAAAGTCATTTAGGGAGAGAATTGCTTTCTTACAATCTCACATTTCTTGAGCTTCAATTTCCTCTTACCAATATTATTTTTGCTACCCTTGACAGAGAAAATGGAAATAAAATAAAGTTGAGTGGTATAGCTGTTTCTTTGTCATGTATTATAAAAATGTTACTCTGAAGCAACATGTTCATTTTCTCTGAAATATCTTCAAAACTCTATTTTTCATGTCTTTAGCATTTTTTTTTATAAACCTCACTATATTATGGTTATTGGTCTTTAAAAAAATCACTCATACTTCTTAGCCACTCCTAAATATTTGTCGTTGGTTAGACCCCTTTCTCCTCTCTTTTGTGCATGTTCTTTTTTATAGATGAATTCAACTACCATTTGTCCCTTTCACAGTCCAATGATTACTGTGGTCATGAAATGTGAATTATAGTCATCAATTCTGTACTTCTGGGTTATTATGGAAAAATAGGAGACAAAGACAGAGTGAGATCTTTGTTATCAAATGTGTAATTTCAATATATTTCTGAATATTTTCATCCTCAGCTTTCTTCATTAAAAAATCATTTTATATTGAAATCACATCACATGTCTTTTGCCACCTTAAAAATAAACACATGTTTTTTCATATTTTATGTAATTTTTCAACAATGCAGAGTTCGATTACAGTTTAAAGTACAACTGGATTTGGCTCATTATCCATTGAAATGGAATTAGGAAATTCTAAATGGTGAAGAAATAATACTTATATGATGGCAATGAAAGTGAATAACTACATAGGATGTAATATAGCTTAAGAAGGCCTGGGAGACTAAGAAAAATGGAGGCACATTGAAGAGTATTTAGATATATCAGCAATTATTTCCATTATACAGATAAGAAGTAAAGGCTCAAGAAATTTAGAGACTGATTTGTCCATGAAGTAGGAAAGTCTTTAAACTCTTCAGGAATTTGCTTCTGAAATTCAGCAGCCAGCCTTAGGAACGTTTTTAATTCCAAGCCATTTTCACATTTGTTTCTTTTTGTCTTCCCACATTTCCCAAGAATTTAGTCTACACATTGATTTTTCTCCAGATATCACTACATATTTTTCTTCCAGGTCTTCCCGTTAGAAGATACAGAGTTCTAGAGTCAGGACTGCAGTTAAGGGAATGGCACTTGTGTAAGACGCACAAACTTTCCAAATATTTTCTTGACTTAGAGGATCAAATGTATTGGTAAGAATATTAAGATATATAAAGCACTTTAAACACACATAAGCTGTTTTTATTGGATTATGCAGGGAATATAGGCTCTGTCTGAACCAAGTTGCTAGCATACAAAAATGCTGAAGAGGATTTTTAAACTAAAAATAAGTTTTAAATAAGGTTAAAATAAGTTTCAGAGGGCCTGAAACTTAGATTGGCTCAGGAAATCAAAATGAAAGTTATGAGAATGAAGAAAATAAAATGGAGGGGCGCCAGGATTAAGTAATATACTGATAATTAGAGTAATTGATAGATATGGGAAGTGAATAACCCTATGTTTAAAAAAAATCTACAGGTAGTTTGCCTTTTCCCTCTTTCTCTTTTTATCCTACTTTAATCTTTTTTTTTTTGTAAACAATAGCAAGTTGCTTAAGATAGAGAAAATACCAGCAAATGCACATGGAGAATAATAGAGAAAAGATAGAATGTATTTTATTTATATTACTAGAGGCCCGGTGCACAAAAATTTGTGCACTCGGGGGGGAAGGGGGTCCCTCAGCCCGGCCTGTGACCTCTCGCAGTCTGGGACCCCTCGGGAGATAACGAACTGCTGGCTTAGGCCTGCTCCCGGGTGGCAGAGGGTAGGCCCAATCCCTAGGTGCAGCCCCTGGTTGGGCTCAGAGCAGGGCCTATTGGGGAGTTGGGGCGCCGCCCCCTGTCATGCACAGAGCAGGGCAATTCGGGAGGTTGCAATGCCACCCTCAGTCACGCTCAGGGTAGGGCCGATTGGGGGGTTGGGGCACCGCCCCCTGTCACACTCAAGGCAGGGTCGATGGGGAGGTTGCGGTGCCACCCCCTGTCATGCACAGAGCAGGGCCAATCAGGGGGTTGGGGCACTGCCCCCTGTCACTCACAGATCAGGGCCCATCAGGGGGGTTGGGGCTCTGTACCCTGTCACGCACAGAGCAGGGCCAATCAGAGGGTTGGGGCACCGCCCTCTATCATCCGCAGAGCAGGGCCGATCAGGGGGTTGGGGCGCCGCCACTCTCACACTCAGGGCAGGGCTAATGGGGAGGTTATGGCTCTACCCCATCACACACAGAGCAGGGCCCGTGGGGGGGGGGGGGCGGGGTTGGGCACCGCACCCTGTCACACACAGAGCAGGGTCGATCAGGTGGTTGGGGAGCTCCCCCCTATCAGGCACAGAGCAGAGCTGATCAGGGGGTTGGGGCACCTTCCCCTGTCACGAACAGAGCAGGGTGGATAGGGAGGTTGTGGCCCCGCCCCCTGTCACCCACAGAGCCGCAGGGTGATCAGGGGGTTTGGGTGCTGCCCCCTGTCACGCTGATCCTGGTGCCAGGAGGCCTCATGGCTCCGCTGATCCCGGTGCTGGGAGGCATATTACCCTTTTACTATACAGGGTAGAGGCCTGGTGCACAGGTGGGTGCCGGCTGGTTTGCCCTGAAGGGTGTCCTGGATCAGGATGGGGGTCCCCACTGGGGTGCCTGGCCAGCCTGGGTGAGGGAATGATGGCTGTTTGCAGCTGGTCACACACCCTTCAGGGTAGGGTTCCCCACTGGGGTGCCTGGCCAGTCTGGGTGAGGGGCTGAGGGCTGTTTTCAGTCTGGGGGTGACTGAAGCTCCCAACCTCTCCTTTTTTTCTTTTTTTTTTTAATTCTGGTCCAGCTTTAGCTTTGAGGCTTGGCTCCAGCTCTTAGGCCTCCCCTGCTGAAAGTAGGTTTCTGGCCTTTGCTAACAATGTTGCAATCCTGCTGGCTGAAGCCCGGTGGACTAAAGCAGCTTTCTGGGGTTTTGTTTAGCTTCTATATTTGTTACATAGTTGCTTAGAGTTGCAGCTCAGAGGCCTGCAGCGGCAGGCGGGGAACGTTGGAGTCCTCCGTCACTGAAGCAAGGAAGCCTCATGTTAGTTTCAAGCTTCCTGGCTGCTGGCCGCCATCTTGGCTGGCAGTTAATTTGCATATTGCCCTGATTAGCCAATGGGAAGGGTTTCGGTCGTACACCAATTACCATGTTTCTCTTTTATTAGATAGGATGACTTAAATCACATAAGAATCTAAAGCTTCAGAGATAAATATGCTATACTTGAAAGGGCTGCACCTCTGAAATATTAGCTGCCATTAATTTGATTTTAAAGAGACTAGTTGTTATTCAGTTATGTCCCAATTCAAATAGTACATTTGGTATACCATTCTTTGGTCCAGAAGTTAAACTTAGTATCACATGTATGTATTACATGTATATTGTGGAACTAAGTCAAAATTATTATTTAACATCTGCTAAACATAGTGTAATAGAACTGCTATTTACAGGTTCATAAAAATGACATATATAGTTCAACAAAATGTCATACTCTTCTACATTATGGATAGACAAAAACATAAAGCCCCAAACATAGTCAATCTACTTAGATTTTAAAGCTTATTAATGTACACTTCAAACTAGTGTTATATAAGAGTTAAAATTTAGCATTAAAGAAAGTGTTCTGTTGTAAGTTTTGTCCTTGTGAAGTTCATTAAATCTCCTTAATTCATCTGTTACAAGTCTTCTAGATTAGGCAGAAATTGGCATAAAGTGCTTTAAATCATGTTCATTCACTCAAAGTAGTTTAAAATATGCTTATGTACAGTTACTAAGTATAATCAAGTATTTTTATTATAATAAGTAATTTTAAAAATTCCATTATAAATCATCTCAAAACACTCTTGCTGAAAACAGAACTTACAATGAGCTTGAAAATGTACTTCTGCTTTTCAAATCCTTAGATCTATATTTTGATTTAGGTTTTGAATCAGATCTATTTCAATAGATCAAAACTTACCCTACCGCTGCCCAAGGTTATACAGTTTAACAGATGACAGCATTTTGCACTAGTAAGCTTTACAGAGTAGAATGAAAACATGCTTGTAGTTTAATAATGTAGTAGTCTTTATGATTACATTTTCAGATGAAGAGCTGCAGCATCATGGAGTGGAAATAACACAGGGCCAGTTAGGAGACTTAAATACGAGCTCATTCATGGATTAAGTAACCTTGGGAAGTCACTTGCACTGTTTCAGGCTGTTGTTCTCCTCAGTCTAAGAGGATGATAAAATGCAACTCACAGCCCTAGCTGGTTTGGCTCAGTGGAGAGAGGGTCAGCCTGCGGACTGAAAGGTCCTGGGTTAGATTTGGTTAAGGCAGCGGTTCCCAACCTGTGGGTCGCGACCCCTTTGGGGGTAGAATGACCCTTTCACAGGGGTCGCCTAAGACCATCGGAAAACACATGTAATTACATATTGTTTTTGTGATTAATCACTATGCTTTAATTATGTTCAATTTGTAACAATGAAAATACATCCTGCATATCAGATATTTACATTACGATTCATAACAGTAGCAAAATTACAGTTATGAAGTAGCAAAGAAAATAATTTTATGGTTGGGGGTCACCACAACATGAGGAAGGGTCGCGGCATTAGTAAGGTTGAGAACCACTGGGTTAAGGGCGCATGCCCTGGTTGAGGGCTCGATCCCCAGTAGGGGGTGTGGAGCACCCGATCAATGATTCTCTCTCATAATTGATGTTTTTGTCTCTCTCTCCCTCTCTCTTCCTCTCTCTCTCTCTAAAAATCAATAAAAATACTTCAAAAATGCAACTCACAGAATCATTGAGAACAACTTTGCTTTCTACTGATTAGTCAATAAATATATTTTTTATTTTTAGAAGAAATGGAGGGTTTTATGCTTTAGTAAGCATATATCCTAAGTTATCACACAACTTTAATATTTAGCTATTTAGATCCATTTCGATGTAATTTGCACATTACACAATGGTATGATTTAGTTTCGGAAGAACTGCATTTATTTGACAGAATGACACTGATTTTATTATTTTACTTGGTGGGAGAAATGTGTATAGCTACTGTGCATATCCACAGCCAGATTTAGTACTTAAAAGAAAAATCTACAGGTTTATAGAACCTCTAAAACTTTAGATGCTTATCATTTCAGCTGAGGAGAAAAAATGTTAAGCTGGAATTTTTTTTTTTTTTACTTTGTAGCAAATCTAAGGCAGTTCAGCAACCCAGTAACTGTAAATATCTACCTTTTAGGCTGCTTGGGGGATTTGGTAGAAATTATGTGGAAAAAATCTAGCTTAGAAGTGACCTCTAGGTTTTACTTTCTTAGCTGCTAGAAGAGGATTGTATCTGAGAAGCAGTGTGTTTAAGCTCCAGGAGATTAGGGTGTGGGTATGAGCCAAGACATTGGTGGTTGCTGCTTGATGAAGTGACTTATTTGTGGAATGGGACCAACAACTGTGTTGGAAGCTAGGTGATCTCGGCCCGAGGCACTGCTATAATGGTAGACACATGCGCACGATTAACGGGAAAAACGGGCTTAACAGAGTGTTGAAGTGTTGAAGAGGGAACTCAAGGACCTTGTCCGTCTGGATCGACCTTCAGGTCGGTACTAGGCAGAGCCAAGGGTGCTACGTGCGGTTTGCCTTGGAGTGTTCCCTGGCCACAGGGAAACATGGCGGTGGTGGTTGTTTTCCTGATTTGAATCAACTCTTCCACGTGAAATGTTAGCAAAAACATCCAGCCTAGAGTTTTAAAATGTATTTAACAGTCTTGAAAATATTTAATGCTTCAAATAATTTTCACTAGCTTCTGAGATACCTTGCACTAAAAATGTCTTTCTACTGAAGTAATTTCTGAAATATTAGTTTCTACTTTTGCTTTTTGCTCCCAGGGCAACTATCCCTCAGAACCTAAACAGGTCCTTTATTTTATTTTTTTCTCTTTTTTATTTTTTTGGTTCTGAAATAACCCTTCCTGAAGACATAAACAACTTTCTTTGATGGCTAGCCAAGACTCTGTCCTGCCACAGATCTCTCCTCCTACTCTTTCATTTCTTACCCCAAGGAGCAGTAAACATGAATTCTGACCCACCAATGCAACCCCAGAACTGAGAAGATATACACTGCAGCTAAACAGTAGGTAGAAATAAAAACACTGCCTCAACTCGATGCTATTAAATGTGCTGGGAAGACAGTCTCCAAGACAAAGGATAAATAACCTACATAATGAAGAATTAGTTAGCAGTGTTATGTAAATATTGTAGCAGCATCAATGAGGAGGTAAGCAGAAGTATTTTAAGACACTGTATTATACAATACCCTGTGCACTGTTTCCCGGTGATAAGGTTTTTAAAGCATCTTTATAAGCTCTTCTTCTCTGTTGTGACAGGATTATTTTTGCACCTTTGGAAAGCAACTGAAAAAGGAAGCTTGGAAAAAGTGCTTCCTAACAAAGCAGCTTAAACTGTAAGAAAGAACTGATTCAAGATACAAGAATGGATTTAAGATAGAAGACTAAAACATAGGTATAAATGATATCCTCTTTGTTTTTGGCTTTTTTGCAATGCTGTATATTCTTGTCAGTTCAGTGAAATGTTAAAATGGCAAAGGATGAAAATGTTTTTGATTATTGCACAGAATTTTAGATAGTCACTGCATCCAGAAACAACACATGTAATGGGTAAAGTTGGGTGAGTGGATAATGTACAAATTATCCAAAAGGAAATGTTTTAGCTACTGGTGTCAATAAATTGTCCTCTGCCCCACTACATTTCAAAAAATATTGACAATACATTTTCTCCTTGCTCCACCCTTTAAAACCTCAGTATTAGAATGATAAATATTTTGTAACAACTTCAGAGTGTTGACTCTTGATTGGACAATGATGCACAAATTACTGAAATTCACAAATTCTAAATCTTAGACACTTAAGAAATGTTAATATTTTGATTTAGTGAAATGGTAAGAGGTATGTAGTGGAAAAAAAAAGAAGAAATGGAAATGTCTTAGATAATTAAAAAAAACTGAATAATTAGGTGTAATTAATCAACCCCTCTATACAACCAACCCTTGATTGTCTAGCTATGTTATCATTTGTAGACTCTCTACAGAAAGAGAATGTTAAATTGAAGAATACCTTCTTCCCCGTATTCTCCCTGATGTTATTAGTTGTATGAGATAGATTTTTTTTCCATTTTTTTAATCCTCAGCTGAGGCTATGTGGTGTGTGTGTGTTTAGAGAGAAATTGATTTTAGAGAGAAAGGGAGAGAGAAAAAGAAACATCGATGTGAGAGAGAAACTTCGATTGGTTGCCTCCTGTACATTCTCCAACCGTGGATCAAATCCACAACCTAGGTACATGTCCTGACTAGGAATTGAAACCAAACCTTCTGGTATATGGGATGATGCTCCAACCAACTGAGCCGCCCGGACAGGGATGTATGAGAAATATTTTAGTCAAGAGGCCACCAGAGCAGGAATGTGTCTGGGAACAAAAGCTAGAAACCCAAAAGTACTTAATGAAAGTAGTTATAAACACACATATGAGAAAAATTGTCAGGTTGAAAGCTGGTCAAAAGGAGAGTGAGTCAAAATATAGAAATGCAGGCCCAGCCTAGAATCTAGGAGTTGTATCCAGATAACCAAAGGAGTTGAGCATCCCTGGCTAGGTAGCTCAGTTGGTTGGATCATTGTCCCAAAACACCAAAGTTGCAGGTTTGATTTCTGATAAGGGTACATACAAGTATGTATAAAAAAGTGGAACAACAAATTGATCTCTCTCTCTCTCTCTCTCTCTCTCTCTCTCTCTCTCTCTCTCTCTCTCTCTCTTCCCCCCTCTCCCCCTCTCCCTCTCTCTCCCTCCCTCCCTCTCTTCCTTTATCTCTGCCTTCTTCTCTCTCTCTCTCAAAATCATTCAATAAAAAAAAGTAGTTGAACTGGGGACAGATGAGAGCAGAATGTATTTAGAGTGGCAATTAGGTGTCCAAAAATTAAACAAATCTCTGGGGGCCTAGGAGAATAAGGTCAAGGTCAAGGGCTTATGGAAAAAAAGTATTCCTTCATATTGGAAGGGAAACTGCTTCAGATGTTATTTATAATCCCAGACCCAAGAGCTGCTGAATTCAAATCAGTGTATGCATGGTCAAGTCAGTCTCTCAGTGTGTGCTTCCTTCCAGTTGATTGCAGTTGGTCTTATTTCTCTTATTCCATTGTGATTAAGAACACCTGAAAAGACTGTACACAATAAGGGGCATTAGCCTTCTAAAACCTGCAGTTTTCCCTCACCAAACTGTTTATCAAACCTAATTACAGTGTAAATAAGTGAATAGTTAATGCATTGCAGGAGCATCAGGAGGGAAAGAGATTGGTGGATATTTGTGAGCTGGGCTAGAGGTAGCATAGTTAGAACCCAAGATGCCACTGAGCTGTCTTGAGTTTATACTTATACTGAGTTAGTATATGGAAATGAAACTGAACAAGATCAATTTGTTTTCCTGAATTATGAATTAGGATTCAGGAGACATTTAGGATAAGCACTGTTCCTCAAATCTTTGGGAAATCATTGAATTTGAGTTGAATTTTACTTTACAACTTCTCTTGTTCACTGGGATCTACTAGTAATTGAACAGAGCAGACACTAACAGAAGCCTGTTGCAGTCAACATTTTTATGAAAGAAAAGACTCCAGAGAACTCAATCTGAAAAGGGCCACTCTAAAGAATTTGAGGTTTTTGTTAAATCTAAATATTTTCCATAATATTGAGTTTTTAAATGTCGACACAGGTGAAGAATGTTAATTGATATGGGCAAACTTCCAAACCTCTAACAGCGGTTCTCAACCTGTGGGTTGCGACCCCTTTGGGAGTCGAACGACCCTTTCAGAGGAGTCGCCTAAGACCATCAGAAAACACATATATAATTACATATTGTTTACAGTAGCAAAATTACAGTTATGAACTAGCAACAAAAATAATTTTATGGTTGGGGCCACCACAACATGAGGAACTGTATTAAAGGGTCGCGGCATTAGGAAGGTTGAGAACCACTGCTCTAGTACATCCAATTGTGGAAAAAAAAATTAAAAATCTAAATTAGCTGGTGTGCTTCAGTGGTTGAGTGTTGACCTAGAAACCAGGAAGTCATGGTTCCATTCTTGGTCAGCGCACATGCCTGGGTTGCTGGCTTGATCCCCATTAGCGTGCAAGAGACAGCCAATCAATGATTCTTTCTCATCATTGTTTCTATCTCTCTATTCCTCTCCCTTCCACTCTGAAATCAATAATAAATTTTTTTTAAATAAAAAAATAGAAACTTAAATTATCTAAGGAATGGATGAATGGTCACTATGTTTAATTTTAGGTTACATCTCAAAATAAGATAAAACCATTTTGTCTTATTTTATTTACATGAAGACTTTTTACAATACAATTTACTGTTAATACTTTGAATTTTAACTCATGGTCACTTGTCATGTAAACCAATCGTTCAAAGCTGTACAGATTAATTATAGCCTCAAAGTGAAAGAATTTCTTTTTAAATCTAAACAGGCAAGTGCAGAATGAACCTCATCTTGACAGGAGAGTATAGTTAATAGTAAAGGAAAATGCCAGCCATATTTAGTTTTCAAGAAAATGCTTCCTGGAGTACTCAGTGTCATTTGATTGGCTAACCTACTCTACATTTTCATTTTCAGATTCCAGAAATAACTTCTGGATTTCCCAATAGATATGTCATTTTAATGCTGGGACTTCTGCTTTTAAAACAACATTATTCTTTGGTAAATATATTAATCAAAATTAGCTAAATTAAATGTATTAGTCAAACTGTTGTCTTCTCAATTTTCCTCCCTATTCTTTTCCAATATATCTGCTCTCTTCATTTGGGGGCACTTTCCCTTCTATGTAAATGAGGTTATAACAGAGGCCCCACAGATTGTGGCCTAGAGATGGATACCTGTTGCTAGTAAAGTCAATCATATTAATTCATTGGGATTTTATGTAGAAATTATTGGAAATTATTCATCTCGGGTGTAGCTGATCCAGGATTTGTGAGTCTAGAGTCAACTGTAGGCCATACCCATCTCTCACTACTTGGAAGGATCAAATCTTCAATAGGAAAAAATGAGGAAAAAAAATGCTAAATGAGCAAAGATGAGGAGAGCAAACGAAAGAGTGGGAGAGAGAGGGAGGGAAAAAGAAGTCATTAAGGTGAGGGACACAGGAAGGAAGAACAGGTGCCAGGAGCCGGTCTATCCTTGCTGTTTCAAGGGACCTGGCATATATGGCATACTGTTTTTAATATGTTTGCTCACCTTCTTGGCACTATGTGTTTTAACCAAGGTCTCTGAGAAAGGTTGTTTCCCCAGGTAGGGATTTTCCCCTGAAGTTAGGGAGGGAATAAAACCCCTTAACTAAGTGCCAGGTGGGTAATTAATCACTTTAACTACGAACAATCATGCTTAAACTACATAATCTTTACTCCCTGGAATGGAGATAAGAAACGCCCTAACCTTTGGAATAGAGATTGATAGGATTGGAATCAACTGGTATAAATACAGATGTAACAAGACAACAGGACACAGAACCTAGACACAGAACCTACACAGAACCTAGAGACAGAAGAACTTCACTGGAGAGAACATGGCAAAAGATCCTGGATAGAACCAAGAGACAGAACCTAGAGACAGAACCTAGCGAGAGAACCTGGCTGAAGAACCTAGAGACAGAACCCGGCTACAGAACCTGGATAGAACATGGCGAGAGGACCTGGCTGAAGAACCTAGAGACAGAACCCGGCTATAGAACCTGGATAGAACATGGCAAGAGAACCTGACTAGAACCTGGTGACTGAACCTGGCTGGAGATCCTGAACAGAACTTGGCTGGAGATCCTGGCTAGGCTGCTGATCAACTGAACGCTGTCTCCGTGTCATTCCTTCTTCACCGACTCTGTCCACACCTTTGGGGACCCCTGGACCTGCTGGGGTTGGACCCCAGCAAACAGGGAGACATAATTCAGTATCTGGATTTACCCCAGTTCTTTGCAGGAAACAGTACAAGTCTCCTGATCTCTTTTATTTTCCTTGAATTAATTTGATTTTCTGTTCTGTCATTTGAAATCAAAAGTATCCCAACTAATATACTGTTTCAAATAGTTTTTTTCCCCCTGATATGAAGTATGCCAACTTTTCAAGTTTTTGGCATTTAGTTGAAATACTCCTAAGTGAACTGGTTGGCTTAACTTTAAGGCCTGTGCTTTTCAGAAATTAATTTAAATGGATAGTAATATTCCAACTTTGACTCCTTTAAGGTCTTTATTATGAAAGTTTTAGAAATGAACCCATCTAAATACATGAAATCAATTATCTCCATTTTAATGATGTCTATGGTCTCAAAAATTCTTTTAAGGATTTGTTTTAGCACTGAACATTGCAAAGAATAAATTAAAAACTGTATATGTTTATGATTTTGAATACAGTGTTATTGTAAAAAAAACTATCTATCCTAAAAATCCAAACTGTCTACCCTATGTTGCACCTCAATTCAAATTTTTATTACTTAAATGTGCTTTTGAAAACATATGTATGTGTGTGCATATATATATGTGTGTGTGCACATATATATACATATGTGTGTGTGTATATATATGTGTGTGTATATATATGTGTGTGTGTGTGTGTATATTAATTGAGCTTTAGGTACAGGGA